GCCCAATTTCCTCTGTGTCTGGATGCAGTGGTCCTGAGCTTGAAGGGGGTGATTCTGGAATATCAGCCAGCAGTCTTGGGTCCCTCTGCCTTCCAGGACTTCATCCCAAGGTACTCTGCCAAGAAGGTCCTTGAAGAGGCCGAAATCTGCTCTCCTGAACTCCAGGGCAGTGAGCTTGCTGTGCACCCTCCTCACCGCCCTGAGGATCTCGAACTCTACCATCTTGCGGTTGCTACAGCCAAGGCTGCCTTGGAGCACCGTGTTCGTCACCAGGTCGTCTCTGTTGGTGAGCACAAGGTCCAGCATGGATCCTCTCCTTGTTGGTTCCTCTATCATCTGTATAAGGAAGTTATAATTAACACATTTAAGGAACCTCCGGGATTGCCTATGCACTGCCACGTTGCTCTTCCAAGAGTTAGGGTGATTGAAATCCTCCATCAGGACCAGAGCTTGGGAGCTTAAGGCTAACTGCATCTGTCTCTAAAGGGTTTTGTCCACACCCTCTTCCTGATGAGGTGGTCTGTAGCAGACCCCCACTATAACATCCCCTGTCCCAACCCTACCCTTAATCTTGACCCACAAACTCTCGCCTGATTCCTCATCCATCCCTAGACTGACCTCCACACTTTCCAGTTACTCATTGACATAGACGGCTCCTCTTCCTCTGCGTCTCCCCAGCCTGTCCTTCCTATAAAACCTAAAGCGTTCCGTTCCAATGTTCTGGTCATAGGAGCCATCCCACGGCGTCTCTGTGATAGCCACAATGTCATATCTACACAGGTGCATGCATATCTCTAGTTATTCTTGTTTGTTCCCCATACTACGTGCGTTCATGTAGAGACATTTGAGCTGGCCCTCAGCTAAACCTGACACGCTGACTGAAGTCTCACCCATGATCTCGCTCTGTTCTGGGCATCCATTTTGGGTGATGGTGTCTTTCTTATGAAAGTCAGACCTCATAGTTCATAGAATGGTGTTCGCGAATGACTACCTGAAGCCAGAGCCGCTTGAAGAACCAGAGCAGTTTTTTGACAACATTGAACTCTTTTTCTGTGACTCCACCAAACCTGCTGTCCTGTGTCTCTGGATAAAGCAAGATAAGGTGTAAAAATTGGCTCATTCATAATCAGGAATATCAGGCCAGCTCTTCATGTAATTTGTGAATTAAAGGAAGCTTTCAAAAGGATAATTTCTGCTGGCTTTGAGAAAAATGACTTCATGACTAGAAACTACTGCAGGTTCTTAACAAATGGGAGTTTAAAGGCCAAGTGTGTTAGGCAGGACTTGGTCCTGAGCTTATATTTGGTATAATTAAGGCAGTTCTGTTTGAGACAATTTGGAAGTGCTTTTTTAGTGACTTACGTCGATTTGTCTTGATCCAAACAAGTAAAGACTAATGTGCCAGTTGGGATTTTTGTATCTAAAGATACACGATACTAATTTATGTAAATGCGTATTAATTTAATGGCCAGGTACACTTTTTTGCCTTTCTGATTAGCAAAGAGAAATAGAATTATTCGGAGGTCAGAACATAGCTGAACTATTTGAACAGGATTATTAAATGAAGATGACAGATGATTCTGGTGTATATTCATGCTTCTTCACTATTGAAATTTTGTTTAAATCAATGCCACTTGGTTGACAGTCAGTATTTTCACTTGTTTTCATCCTGTCAGTGTAAAACATAGGAAATCATTGTCACCATTCTTTTCCTGATTCATTTCACGACCCCTACCTTTCTGTATGTACATACTATGTGTACATGTATATAAATTATAATCTTTATTTTAATATTGTTATTAGGGGAAAATAAATCTTATATCTAAAACTGTGCAAGCAGTGTCTTAAGCATGTTTTAGCTAGCATGGGACAAGCAATGCAGTTTTGTCATGTGCTTTTAATATCCTGAACTTAGATTGAAAATGAAAGAAGCACAAAGCCATAGACTTTCTTAGAAACATGATCTGCAGTTTGTTAAAAACAATTCTAATGTAGATATTTTTTCCTCCTAGGTTTTACCAAGAGACAATACATCTAACACTTAACTTGGATCATCTCTTGTTCATCAGCTTGAAAATCATAACAGCCCCCAAAACTCATTTAATCTGAAAGAAAAAGCTGTGACAAATGGACAATATGTCTATTACTAACACACCAACAAGTAATGATGCTTGTCTGAGCATTGTTCACAGCTTGATGTGCCATCGACAAGGTGGAGAGAGTGAAACTTTTGCAAAACGTGCAATTGAAAGTTTAGTTAAAAAGCTAAAGGAGAAAAAAGATGAATTGGATTCTTTAATTACAGCTATAACCACAAATGGAGCTCATCCTAGCAAGTGTGTTACAATACAGAGAACGCTGGATGGGAGGCTTCAGGTTAGTACAAGTGAAAATCAGATGTTTTCCTCCTAGTGAAGCGGGAGCAAAAGTGAGGGATATAGGATCCTAGAGTGTTGAGGAAGAGTAGCTCCTCTCTTGCATCTATCCTTGCCCCCATTCGTAGGCATGTTTTGTGGCTGGTGCTTTGGACTGCTGCAGTAGTTGATTTTTTAAAAATTTTTTTCAAAAGGAGCAGAAGGCATTGGATCAGCCGTTGTAAATGTGTGGGTGGGGGTGAAAAGCAGGGTCACATAACACATTTGGCTGTATTTTCACTACAAGCTTCTGTTAGCTCGGTGTTGGTCAGAAGTATAAAGTTAGACCTATGATCCCTTGCTAAGAAGGTACTCCAAGGAGTCTGCCCTGAAGATAGCCATATATTGTCAGTACTCAGTACCTATATAGCTTGGGTTGCAATTTCCTTGTTCCAAGACAGATGTCATGTTTGCTGGCTAGCTTTCTGTCTACCCTAGATGCAATTTTTAAATTATTTTTTTTCATTATAATGAATTGGTGTTCTTCTACTTGTAAATTTCTTATAGTGCAGCTTAGTGCCTCATTCCTCTTCTGGGGCAAAGCTCCTTTGTCATCCATGGTGGGGAAGGTGACCATATATAGTACATTAAGCAAAAATTCTGCTTTTGCCATTTTCTATCCAGTATTTTTTTCTTAAGAATCATGATGTTGATTTAACCATACCAAAACCCTAATAGAAATTTGTTTCTTTTGAGTACAGAACTTGGGTAAACTGTACACCACCTTTTTTTTTTTCCCTCCATATTTTGATGATGGAGAGAGGTTGTGTTGTTTGTCCTCTTCCAGCTTTGCTCCTCACTAAGTAAAATGAAACATCTTGCTACTTTCCCAATCAACTTTTGTGTCTAACTTTTTAGGTGGCTGGTCGCAAGGGATTCCCTCACGTGATTTACGCTCGTCTTTGGAGGTGGCCTGATCTTCATAAAAATGAACTCAAGCATGTTAAATATTGTCAGTATGCTTTTGACTTAAAATGTGACAGTGTCTGCGTAAATCCTTATCATTATGAACGTGTAGTATCGCCTGGCATTGGTAAGTAGACTCTTGATTTAAAATGGAACAGTGTAAATAAAATATTTTCCTTTTGAGTGTAGAAAATAGAGGCCTTAAATTAGAAACATTAACTTTTAATGATCTAATTATAAATTACTCTTATATGCTCTTGTCCATCATTTTAATGGATTTATTTTTTCCTTTATTCCAAGTTTGAAAGAAAAGTTTGTGGCTTTTGTTTAAGCCTTTCTGTTGGCTTTGCACACAGTTCTTGCAGTTAATATGTATCCTAGGAATAACTTAGCAGAGACATGTGTTGTGATAGAGGGGGTATAATATGTAGAGTCTGTAGTACTAATTTGTAAAGTTTGCAAACTTCAAATGTTGTTGAAGATCTCTGTGAATATAATTCTCCCCTTTTCTTTTTCTTTTTAAAGATCTCTCGGGACTGACACTGCAGACTTCTGGTAAGTAGTTCTATTTACTATTGCATTTCTATGGGCACAAACTGTGTTAAACTCTTCAGTGTGTACACAGTTTATTCCTGTCTATCTCCTTGGGAGGGAGTATAGAGAGCAGATGAAAATACATTTGTGTCTCTGGTTTTGGAAAAACAGCTAAGTAGCACATGAGAGGCAAGTATTGATAAATTCTTTAAATTGAGGCTTCAGCTCAGCTTGTTGGTATGTTCTATTTTCATTGCTTGTAACTTATAAGCCTCACCAAAAAAAAAAACCAACAAAAAAAACCAAAAAACCCCCACATACTGTTGAATGCTGCTAATTAATAAAAAAAACCCAGACACCCAAACCTCTGTGCACCTGTATGATATACTAATGAATTGAATTGGGAATAATAGATGCTTATGATGTAATAAGTAGTTTAACAAGAAAATAATGGAAATTCTCTAATTAATATGCAATTGAATAAAGGAGTCAATATTCTTGCTGTCCCTGAAACTTGAGAGAAATTGGACATTAAATCTCCAATGAACATTATTCAGAAATCATGAGATTGTGCAACTGGTAACTGCTTTATTTCAAAACAATGATTTTCCTTCCAGAAAAAATTAATAGAGAAATTTGAGTAATCCAATATTTTTAGCAAAAATGACTTAAAAAAAACCCAAACTCAAATCACCCAACAAACTTCTAACTTCACAAGCTTTAACTTGTCTGCTCATCTCTACTAATCATTACCTGTGTCTTCTGAAAAATGATCCTTTTGTACAGAATTAAAGCTTAATAGCCAGCAGTTATATACTTAAGTGTTTCCTTGTCATGCTACTGGTTTTTTGCAGCAGGGAACAAAAAATTACTGTCAGATTTTAATATATTTAAGGTTCTTTAAAAATGAGCATGGGAGCTAATGTATTCTAAGTGTGTTACTTGAAAGTGCTCAATAGGATATATAGAAATAAATTCTTGTAGTGGCAGTGGTAGTCATTTCCTTGCACTATATGTGGAATATTCTGAATTAGTGGCTACTTTGTTAAATATTGAGTAGCATTATATTGTCTTTGAATGTGAATTTGATGTTTCTAGTCAATTTGGATGGGAGTTGCTTAAAATTACTTAAGGGATGCATGAAGTTTGTGCTGTGTTCATGAATTATGTTTTTCATAGGAGCTTTATTTATGTTTTTGTTTGTATGCTAGCTATTGGTTTGTTAACTACTGCATTAACATATATTTAGGTGCTTGACAAAAAGCATGGGTTCCCTCTTTTATTAACTATGTCCAATCATACAGTGATGGACTAGAAAACAAAATGCTATTGGAGTTTGCTACTGTGGGACTAAACTGCTTGTTTGATAGCAGTAAGCAAAATAAAGTTTTCTTTTCCATTCAGTTATGCTTCAAAATTTCTTGCTGCTGTCTTAAAGTGTTTGTGTAATTTAGTGGAGTGCTTTACCAATGCTTATATATGTTAAATTCTCCCCCCTCCACTAGTTCTAATGGCATTGTTATTGCCTGGAAGTAGTAGTGCAATTTGTAGTTAAATTCTGAAAATAGATTTGCTTTGCGTATTTAACTGTTTGCTTCTTCACAGCTCCATCAAGCATGTTGGTGAAAGACGAATATGTTCATGACTACGAGGGGCAGCCATCATTGTCTTCTGCTGAAGGCCATTCGGTCCAAACCATCCAGCATCCACCAAGTAACAGGGCATCTACAGAGCCTTATAGCACCCCAGCCATGTTAGCTCCTACCGAGGCTAGCACTACCAGCACTACTAATTTTCCCAACATTCCTGTGGCTTCAACAAGTAAGATCATCGAGATTATACAAAGTACTAAACACTGAAAATGCAAAAGTTCAAAGATAACCACTGATTTTTGCCAAAGTAGATCTTGCTTTGGTACTGTGCTGCTGCCACACCACACTGGTAAAAGTGTGTGGCAATATGATCTAGGCAGTCTCATAGGTATTAACATAAGGTTTTAACTTGGAGCATAATTTGGAGCATAATTTGAGTAACTTTTTCTGGTGTCCCAGTCTTTTTTTCAATGAGACTGACACTACATAAGTGTTACAAGACTCTCTTGGATATGCCAAAGGTTCAGTGACACAATGTTAAAGCAATTGACCACTGGCTATTATTTAAATAATTGCTGTAGAAATGGAAGAATTTTATTATTTTATTGCAACATCAGGCAGGACAACAGTTATAATGTAAGGTGGCAGTATTGAGATGTTTTAAGGCAATTCTTTAGTGTTCCACAGCTGACAAAATGGAGCTTCTAGTTTTAACTTATTTGTATAATGGTCCACTATTCTACCAAAGTGACAGCCCTAATTAATATTTTCATGAGTCCGTGGAAGTGCTACATTGAAGTTTTTGTTACTTTTCTGTGTGCATTTGGTATAAGTCGAAGAGACTGGTTTACCAACACCAAACCTCCCACTTTACTCCAGCATGACAGTAAAGCATTATGTGCACAGTGTCCTGCAGCC